CAGACTTTTTTTTTTTTTCTTTCCTGTCCTTTTTTTTTTTTTTTTGGTACTGGGGATCAAACTCAGGACCTTGTATTTGGGAGGCAGGCATGGTGCCACTGAATTAAATCCCCAGCCCATCCACAGACTTTTTTCTAAATAATCAAACTATACGTAGTTCCTGGTCAGGACCTTGTGTGCTACCCATCAACAAATCCCAGACCAGGTTGGAGCTAGCTCTGTAGGAGCTTAGCTGAGGACTGGACTAAGGGTGCTAAAAGAGAGCTGGAGAAAGTAAGAGGGTTTTTCTCTGTCCCCATTTTTGTAGCTCACAGCATATCCAAGCAGAAGGGGTACCACGTGGACCATACCTGGACTATTTGTTGCAGAATGGCTAGTGCCTGCTCCTTGTCCTCCAGCAGCTGCTGGACCCTGGCTAGGTGCTCCCAGGACCCTTTGGCTGGGTCTCCACTGAAAGACAAACAAAAGCCTTTAGTCTAGAAGGTGGAGAATGGGAACTATGGGCGAAGGAAGAACTGACAGACGGCCCACCATCCTAAAGCAGAGCAGTCCATCTGCAAAGATTTCTGGTTGTGAAGAGTCTTCACACTGGAGGGATCCGGGGAATCTGGCAGGCCTGTGTGATAAACAGACACCGTAAGCTCAGGGCTCTGCCTCTAAGAGGCACCTATCTGGCAGCAGCATGTGTGGGTTTGGGGTGGGGGTTGGCCTGCATAGGTTGAGTGGATTCAGATGTCACCATATACCTGTTTGGTCCCAGGCAGATATCAGGGCCCCTTAACACAGCCCTGGATACTCTGAACAGTGTCTCTATTTGGAGACATAAAGATACAGTGAGACACTGCTGAGTATTGGTATAGACAGAGAACCCATCTACCTTCCTCAGAGGCTGGCTAGGCCTCTGCGCCCTGTGTGCACGTGAACACACCTGCTCTCCTTTGTCATATGTCTAGTCATGTGTAATGCGGTGATGCCCCTCACAGACAGCCTAAAGGGGCTCTGGCAGGCTGACCCATGGGTTTGGATCCTACCGGTATAGGTGTGGGTGGACACCTCCACCCAAGGTTGGTCAGCAGCCACTCTGTAGGGTCCTGGATCCTGCAGATGTTAAAGGTTGGGAAGTGAGATATAATGGGAATAAACATGTCTGTCCGCAGTTCCCCCTCACTGTGGGGGCGAGGGTGGCCAAGCAAACTGCAGAAGGTGGGGCAGGGCCAAGGTTAATACTTGGGGCTGCAGACTAAGAAGGAGCAAATCCAAAGAGTTTTCATGGCCTGAGACAGGCAGGTGAGGCTGGGAAGGGGCAAGATCCTGGGGAGGCCTGGCCAGCAGTACATTCAGGGATTTGAGCATGGACATGTATGCATTCTGGACTGCAAGGCTTTGGGAAGCGGGGGCTTTATTACCATTGATTCCCTGTTTTATTTTCTCATAGGCAGATGATCTGACTGTGTACAAAGGGCACTAATGCAGCAGATTCTAAGCTATAGTAATTTGCACAGACACGTACAGCTGTACTAGGTGAGACTGCATGAACAGTGCCAGGCTCCACCTTCTCTCTCAGTGCACAAAGGATGGGCTCGATGGCTCCAGGCACGTTGGCCACCACCTTGCGGATATCTGCCTCGGAGACACAGAAGTGCAGCTTGTGAAAGACTTTCCTGCAAAGGAAGCAGAGGTACACCCTCAGAGCAGTGCCCCCAATGGTGAGGCCCTGGGCAGCGTCGTTGGTCCACAGGACAGTGTTCACTTTCCTCAGATTAGGACCCTCTTTCCCTGTACCTGAGAGGCCTTCTCATTTCAGTGTCCCATCAGAGGATCACAGAAAGATCAGTGCCCCAAACCATCAAGCCAAGTGTCTCAAGGACTCTGCAGCAGACCTCGTCTGTCAGAGAGCTGCCCCTTGGTCTGGGAGAAGCCCTGCTGGTCCACGTCCAAAGTACCTAGAGTCTGACCTCTTCTGACTACCATCAAGGCCAACAGCTGACTGTAGTTACGCCCTCTCAACCCTGCCTCCACATCCCTCCATGCCCCTTTCCGCTCCCAGCCTCTGAAATGCAAGCCCCATCAGCTTTGCCCAGGCCTCAGTCGTGCAGTGCTTCCGATCCCACCTAGGTTGGAAGGCCTGTACTCAGTGTGGCCTTCAGGATCCTTGGACCCACACTGAGGGCTCTGGGACTCCCCGATGTAGCTCCCCAGAGTTCAGTTCACTCTCCCCTTCTCTGCGTCACTCTCCTGACTCCTCAGGGCCCTCTCTGGTTCCCCTACATCTGACCTGTCTGCCCTATTCTGTCTGGTTGCTCTGATATCATTTATCAGACATGGCACTTTATATGTCGTTATTTGTCTTCTCACTACAGAGACTCACTCCAAAAAGGAAGGAACCCATCCACAGTGAGGCTTCTGTGTTGGAATAAAGCCTGGCTCCCTCTGTTAAACGAGCGAGAGGCTCAGGGAACAGGCCTATGCGGACAGATCCCCAACCTTGCCTGTTGAGAAGGCTCCAGTTGCTGAGCTTCTGGTCCGTGTTGCAGGCAGGGCTGTAGTTGTGCAGGTCCACAAGGCGTGGATGGAAGTGCTTCACAATCTCCGCTACCAGCACTGTGGGAGGGGAGGGTGAGCCTGTCCTGTCCAGCTAAGACTCTCCCTCTGCACTTAGACGTCGGGTGGGGCCAAGTCCTATACCCTCCCCAGGCAGTGGGGCTGGACCTAAGAGGGCCCCTCACTCCCTGAGCCCTCGTCGCCCAGCGCCCCGCTGCTTCTCCCTCCATTCACGCAGCCACCCCTCCCAGGTGCCCTCCCCTGGAACTGGCCCTTCTCGCACCGCCGTCGCTGAAATCCCGAGCCAGGTGCCGCTTGGGGCGACTGAGCGGGAGTCTGTCCAGCCAGGTGCACAGGCCGAGCAGCATGGGCTGCGAGCGAGCTGCGGAGCTGAGCCCAGAGGCGCCTTGCATGGCAAAAAGCTTAGGCCGTTGCGGGGAGACGGAGCGGAAGGGGCGGTGCGCGGTGCGTGACCAATGGGAGATAGAACTACAGGGGCAGGACAAGGATTGCAAAGTGCCTGGCAGGCAGCTTTTTGGGTGTGATTGGTCCTCCTGCTTGTCAGTGGACGGACATGTTTAATTAAAGAGGGGGTTGCTTGCTAAAATCCACGGAGAAAGGAAAGGAAAAGATTGATTGATATAATAAAACACCTCCTGCCCTTTAGAACATGGTCCATAGTTTATTGATAAAATATAAGCTTTATTAATGGATTTCATCCCTGAGGTTTCCAGACCAAATAGCCATTTGCTCGGCCCCCCGAAAAGACAGTGATTCCCGAAAAGTAGACATTCCTTCTTAAATCATGGGCTTGGTCGGAGCCAATGCAGGTACAATCCACTTATCGGCACCCTCTTTACAGGAAACCACTTGAGCTGTCCTGATCTTGGAGGGGTCATGGGGTGATGGCCAAGCCAGAGAACAGGTGCAGCGGTGGCTGGGAAAAGCGCTCTGGATCTCCTGAGCACACGGGGGCAGTAGCTGTCTGGACAGCAGTCTCCACACACACTCCTGGTGTCCTCCCATCTCAACCTCGCCACTGCAGACATAGCAGGCTGAGCGCAGCCAATGCAGGTGAGAAGGGTCTGGTCTTGAGCAGTGGGCCTGGCCCAGCCCAACAGCAAGAGCGTCTGTCTGATGCAGCCCTGTGGTCAGAAGAGCAACTGAGGGTCCAGCCCTGAGTCCTGAGCTGAGAGGTTCTGTTGTTGACCCTGGGAGGCTGAGGAGCGTGGCCACAGGAGCACTGTCCTGCTGGGGCTCCTCCATACTTCCCTGGGCTCACAGATGGCGTCCTGCGGCACTCTGCCCAATCACCTCCTCAGGACCGGGGGCTTCAGGGCAACCTTTGTACCATCAAGTCCCTTGGAGGAGGAAAAGAGAATTGGTGTTAAACATCATCTACTACAAAGGGCACACCTGAATATTCCCATTTACATTTCTTAATATTTAGATTCTTAGTTTACCCAATAATAAGATGGCCCTATCCCTACAATGATTATAGCTGTGATGGCCACAATATTAACAGCTAGCACTGTAGATTTTATTATTTACCTAATAGAGAAAAAAGGTAAAATTGATAGTGGAAGTAACAATCACTGAAAAGTCCCATGACCAGTTGTAAAGGAGAGATTAAAATAAACCTATGACTGATAAGATTTCCTTGCTTTTCTTCAGACACTCACCAAAGTTTACCTGCCAATGATCTGAAGAAATCATCTCACACACACTCCAGGGCAGTACTACAGGCATCCCAATGTGGTAGCCCCTGCATAGGCAGACCCCACCCAAGTTTGTAAGAGAGGGGCTCACCTGAGTCCTTCCTGGTGTGATCCCTTCAGCCCAAGGCTTGACTGGTGGCACTGGCAGTGCACAGCTTGGCTTGACAACCTGGGAGGGAGCATACATGGCTGAAGGAGAGCACTACCTAGGTGGCCAGGCCCTGTCCAGGACTTTGACTCCTCAAGGCTCTCTGCACTGCTCCAGCCAGACTGAAGGTTCCTGCCTTCTACAGAAAAACAGCTCTCTACAGCTCTCTGCAGAAAAACCCTCCAAGACTGACCCAACCTGAAGGACAAACCAGATATGGTTGTGCACGCCTGTGATCCCAGCACTCGGGAGGCTGAGGCAGGAGGATCACCATGAGTTTGAGGCCAAACTGGGCTTCAAAGTGAGTTTAAGGCCACTCTGGACTACAGAGCAAGACCTTGTCTCAAAAAACAACAAAGTACCAACTTGGAAAAGCTTCCCCTTCTTAGCTGACTGAATGCCCAATCCCATCTCACAGCCTCACCTGTACCCTCCCCCAGATGCACTATCCTGAACAGAGCATGGTGGCTCATGCCTATAATCCTAGCACTCAGGAAGCTGAGGCAGGAGAATCACTGTGAGTTTGAGGCCGGCCTGAACTACATAACGAGACCCTGTTTCAAAAATCAACCATTATCTTAATTTTTTTTTTGTTTGTAAACTATCACATTCACACTGAGCTACGTTCTCACCCTTTTTAAATTTTTGAGATGAGGTCACACTAAGTCACTAAGTTTTCCAGGCTGGGCCTGAACTTAGATCCTCCTGCCTCAGGTTTCCAGAGTATTGAGATTATAGGGGAAAAGACGCTTAACATGCCAGAATGTGGGTCTTTCTTAGAAGCTCAAGAGTCAAGGATTTGTTTTCCATCTCGTCTTTCCCAGGGTGGGCTCCCAGGCTGCATGGGATGCCTGGATAGACAGAGCATTGGTAGGCTCCAGCAACTCAGGGAGGCATTTCCCTCCCACAGTCACGCCAGTTTGGCTGCACTGTGCGCCCAAATCTTCCTTCTTGCCTGGTTTGTTTGAGTCCTTGGCTAGAAATCTATGTCTACCCTGCCTCCATTCTGCCTGTCAAGGCTCCTGGTAGGGCTATTTTTGCAACTCTCATATAGGTTTTACTTAGTTCAAAATGAAACATTACAAAGGGAAATAGGGCCGAGGATTTGGCTCAGTCAGTTATTGCTACCGCCTGCCTCACAAGCAGAAGGTCCCACATATGATCCCCAGTACCAAAAATAAATAGATAAATAGGGAAAGAGAAAAGTAGAACATCCCTATTAGCCAAACAACACAGTAACAATTGTTTGAGGCCAAAATCATCAGCAGTTAAAGAGTCTTTATGTACTCCCCTAAAGTGTTCACTAGCCAAAAAGACACCACCACAAGCAAGCTGTGTGTCACAAACCTATAATAAGGAAGTACCAAAATCTGAAGGCCATGTCCTTGGAAGGACACTTCCCACACTATTCCTGTCAAAAATACATTGCCTCTGGGCTGGGGATTTAGCTCAGTGGTTCTGCTGCCTGCCTTGTAAGCGCAAGGACCTGAGTTTGATCCCTGGTACAAAAAAATAAATAAATAATGCATTGCTTCCATCCACTCATGATACGAAACAAACTCAAATTTGAGGGTCACTGGACAAAGTTGTGAACCAGGCCATTCAGGGCCCAGGAGAGGTGGGCAGGCCTGACCTGCTGCAGGTTCATTAAGGGCAAGTATGGCTGAGGCTGTCATGTGCTAATGCAGAGGAGTCTGAGTGAAAGGGCTGCAGGGACTCTGTGACTTTAGCTTTTCTATAAATCTAAAATTTGTTTAATGTTAAAATTAACATCAACAAGCACCTCTCTGCTTAAGGCAGGGAAAGAGATGGATGTTCACTCTTCAGGTACCACAAAAGCCATTTCAGAGAAACTTCCCAAGTTCCACCACTTTGTGGCACCCCTACCCACCCTCCCCTGACCATCACAGAGGTAGACAAAGGTCTGCCCAGGAGGATACCCAGCAAAACAGATGACCTGTAGAGCTTGGGCCTTGGGGCTTATGCTAGACCCTAAAGCCAAGGCCCATCCTGCTGCCTAGAGTTTGCCCAACCATGAGTGGGAGCATACGCGTCCTTCTCCACACCAGTTCAGCCCATGGCCACCCTTTCCTGTGAGGGAGAAAATTTGGGGTTGAGATATAGGAATCTGGGGGTGGGGAGCCAAGGGTGTGGGGAGTTCATGCTGAGGGCAGGACCCCAACACTGCAAAGGAAGAGGAAGAGGCCTGGGAATTAACCTTGGCTTGCAAGGCTCCAGTGAGTCACACTGAGACCTTTTCAGATCTCCAAAGACTCATCCCCAAGAGAAACTTCACCATCACAAGACTGGGAGGGGTAGTGGCTGTCCCTGTGTATGCCTGCAGGCCTGCAGGAGGGTAGCCTCAGGGCTGAGTTTTCTTACCTGCTTGGGCTTCAGCTTTGGGAGAGGCTTGGTGGGAGGAGCAGGTCTCAGCTGATGGAGGACAAAGAGTCAGGACCCTATAGACCAGCCTTGCCTTACCCCAGGTCTGAAGAACCCACTGTGCCTTTACCCTCCCACAACCTTTCTGAATTTATAGTTTAGTGTGATGTCCTAGAAAGGCCAACCTAACCCATCTTTTCTGTGGAGTGGCAGCTTCCCTGGACCCTGGCCCATGGAATCTAGCCTTCAGGACCCTGGCTGAAGAACATCTGGCCATTCCACCAAAGGCTGCTCACCTGGTCTGATGCCTGCTGGGTGTAGACAGGAAGTGGGAGGGGTGGACTAGACATGGTGGCTGGAGGCTGCAGGGGAAAAGGCTCTCAGTCTAGGCCCATGAGCCTGGGCTAAGGCTCCCACAGCCCTGTCCCATACCCCCCAACCCCCCCAACCAACCCTAGTGAAGGGCTTAAGGTTTGTGTACCACCCACACCAAGGTGGAAAATGAAACCCTTCGGATTGGGCACTTGGTAAGACCCAAGCCCAGACATATGACCACTGCTTTCCCTCAGCCAGGTGGGCACATATTCCAGAGCTGGGAGGATGGCAAGGGTATCTTCCTTTCAGAGCCATAGGCTGAGAACCTTCAGAGCTACAGTCAAGTTCATACTCCAAATGTGGTTTCCCAGAAGCAGCTCTTAACTCTCAGTCCCCATCATGCGATGCCCATAGCAGCTGTACTAGGAACCAGGCCACTGCAGGGCACACAGCTTAATTTACAAAAAGGGTTTGGGCCACATCCTGGGGAAGGAGAATAGGGGCCCTAAGGACCCTATTATTACAGCCCCATGAACCTGTCAGGGGACAATGCTTACAGCTGGGGGTGGCCTCTTTGGGGTCACTGTTGGCTTAGGGAACTGGCTAGGTTGAATGGTAGAAATCAGCTCCGGGGGACCTGGAGTCTTGCCCTTGGCTGGCAAACTGGTACCGCCCTCATGGAACAGTGGGTTGGAGAGCCCCATGGTGGTCTTGGTTGTTGAGCTCCTGGAGAAAAGAGGCGATGATGTAGTCAGTGTCTGGGCCATGGACTCTGGGGTTCCTGTTTTAGCCTCTGTAATTGGAACCCAGTGGATCCCAGAAAACTCTGAGCCTCTAGCCCTGGCCAATCAATACCTGGGAAGCTCAAGTTGCTTAGTCTCTCCACATGGGTCAGATGCACAAAACAGTGGGTTTTCTTCTTCAAACAGTGGCAAAGACCATTTCCCAACAGCACAGGAAGGTGTGCATCCCATACACAGATGTGTCAAAACCAATACATCCTCACCTTTTTTGAACATGGCGCCACATCTTGCAGTGGATAATGACACCTGCCACAATGACCACCCCAACTGCCAGGAGTACCAAGACCACCAACACGCCATTCGGAAGGCTCCCAGATTCTGTGGGACATATAGCTGCACATCAGCTGGGGCTGGGTGCTAGCTGAGCAGGGAAATGAGATTGGCCCTTCAGAAATGAATCTGTCTTGTCCCCCTGGGCCATCCCCTTTGCCCCTCCCTGGGGGCTCTTGCCCCACACATGGTCAAAGGCCTGAGGATACCCCAGAGGAGGACCCAGTACATTACACCAGAGCTCCCTGCTCTTCAGAAATGAGTTGGAGGGTGTGATGGAGAGGGGCCTCTGACTCACAGGGTCATGGATATATAGCCAGGCCAGGCCCTTGAAGCTGTAGTGCTGTGGACAGCCACATGGACAAGGGCCAGTGGGGAGGAAGACACTGTGGGAGTTGGTGACCCTGGGTTCCTGGGCCATAAAGGGACTGAGGACCTGAGCTGACGACCACCAATCTCAATCTGGCTGGGCACTCTCCTCAATCATCTCCACGAGGTAGGGATATGGGCTGCCTCCTATCCCCTGTAGACCAGCTGTCATGTGTGCCAGGCATGGGCTCTGAACTTGGACCTGGACCCATCATGGCCCTACAAAATAGGCACTTCAGGTCTTACAAGGCCCAGGATGGCTAGGCCTACCTACCTTTGTACACATCTACCAGCAGCTCTGCACAGTGAGGAGGGGCCCAGCCTGTGTGGCAGTGACACTCACTCTTGTGGTTGCATACCTGGAGGGATGGCCAGATCTCAGGGACAGGCACCCGGAGGATAATGGGCTACACTTGCAGCACAAGGCCCCCGCCCTGCTCATTCTTGAGTGGCAGCCCTGGGTTCTCCCCGGTGATCATACTGCCCAGTAATCACAGGCTTCATCTCCAGGGGATATCTACCCAGCCTCTGGCCCAAGGGGTCCCTGTAGAGACCCCTACTGCCATGACATGATTGGCTGGTGTGAGCCTCTGCTTCTACATCCAGAGCTATCATTGCCAGTGGCCTCCACCAGACACAAAAGCAAGAGCGGTAGCCTCAGCTCTGAGGGAACAAGGCAGGGGTACACCATCCCTCGAGGCCATACTTACACCACGGTTGTGGCACTTGGCAGAACAGTTCTTGGATCTGTAGATCTGGAGGTCCTGGCACTGCCCCTTCCAACAAACCTGGAGGGCACAGGGGGTCTCTTAGCTGGTCTGGACCTCCCATCCCCATCCCACTGGCCTCAAAACCCAATGGGCAATCTCAGGGTAGGGCAACGTCCAGGATAACCATGCTCTTGACCACCTGCTAGCAGGCCCTGGCCATGAGGGCAGAGCTGGGCTGACTGACCCAGCTCCTCTGGGGGTCCAAAGGGGTGTTGCAGTACAGTGGTATCCAAACTATTAACTGGGAATAGATGACTTCCCATGTCCACTTTCTCAATTTTAACTGAAAGTATACAGAGGACTTCATCTACACACCTCTGGCAGGACACTAGGTTGGGGAACTTCCTGAAGCCCTGGCTGCCCAGATTAGCTTACCTTCCCTTCATCGCATTTGGTGCCCTCAAGCACCAGCTCGTAGGCAGCAATGTTGCTGTCCACTTGGAGAGCTTGGCAAAGGCCCCGGTGGGAGTTAAAGGTGCAGGAGGAACGTTCCCTGGGCTTCTGTCCCCCTGTGCAGTACAGGACACCACATCTATTGGGGCTGTAGAAAGAAGAGGGCTGTGGTCCCAGCTATACTGGGCACGTTCACTGTAGGAGAAGGGCCCAGGACACTCCTTCCCTTCCTTCCACAAGGAGGACATGCTCAAGCTGGGGTCCTAGAGGGCAGGCTAGACCACCAGAAAGCCAGAGTCAGACTCCTCTGTGGGGAGGGCCTTCTGGACTAGCCCTACCTCTAGGGACATAATATGTCCTGGGTCCAGGGCAGTTTGGTCTTGGGACACTTACCTGTGCTTGTCAAAGGAGACAGTGCCACTGCAACCTGGTGAGAGGCTGGCTTTGAAGCAGGTGTCTGTGGCAGGCTGTGCACCTGCAGGGCCATAGCACATTAGCTAGGCTGAGGCCATGGCCACCCCCACCAGCTGGCCCCGTGTCTCATGTTTATGCCTGCCTCACCCAGTCCCCACAAATCCCTGCACCGATGGGCCATGGTGGGGCAGTTCCCATCAAAGCAGTAGCCCCCTGGGCAGGGTGTCCCGTTCTCCTGGAAGGCGTCCTCAGGGCACATCGGCTGCTGGCCATCACAGAACTCCTCCATGTCACATCCATCCTTTGCTTGCCGGCAGAGCTCACCAGCTGGCTTCACCTGGCCCCAAAGAGAAAGTCACCATGCGATCGGCCCAGGCACTGCTCTCTGTGGCCTCTCTGGCCCATCTCACTGCCTAGGACTCTCCTGGGCAGGCCTGGCTTACCTTGCACTCATGGCAGCACTCGCCATGTGCGCACTTAGCCCCTTCAGCCAGCTGGCAGGTAGTGGCATTGCAGCAGGGGTTCCGACAGTCCTGTTAGAAAACAGCCTGAGCAGCTGCACCCGGGGCCAGTGCCAAGTCCAGGGTGAACCACCCCCTATGAATCCCCCGGGAGCTCAGCAGCCTTTCTTTCCCTTCCTTTACAGGTCAAAGGAGAACAGGAAGGATATATAATGCCCAAGGGCCATTGTGCTGTAGTGCATGGTATGCATGGTGTGCCTGGCCTGGGAGGTCTCCCTAAACTGCAAAGGCAGCAGTTGTAGCCCATACAGATGCAATAGAGAGAGGGGTGGGGTGAGACACACCTGGGGCGTACCACAGTCACACTGTTCCCCACGCTCCACAAACAGGTTCCCGCACACGGGGCCTCCCACCAGCCGGTCTAGGTCAGGGGCATTGGCCAAGCAGTCCACCTCAGGCTTCTCCAAAAACGTCTCCAGGTCAGCCTGGCTGCACCTGCTGAATATCCTGGGGAACTTGGAGCTGAGGCAGGGTGTATTGTAGTTAGGGACAGCATGCAGCACTGCCCTTCCTGCCCCCCATTGCCCACAAAGTCTTACCCAAGGCTGGCCGCCATGATGCAGCCACCACTTTCCTGTGGCATGGAGCAGTAGCATCCTTGGATGGCTTCGTCGTGGCTCATGCCCAGGTTGTGTCCTAGCTCATGGGCCATGGTGGATGCCACACCGATGGGGTTCTGAGAATGGTCCTGGGGGAGGGCTATAATCAGTGGGAATGCCCCTCAGCTTGTCTACCCAGGCCCACTGCACTTGCCTCAGCACCCAGTCTTGGTGCTGCTTTCTGCCAACATCTTAAAACCAAAATATCCGGCGTTAACACTGTCTCTGAGGAGACAGCCAATCAGCTGTGTTTCTGGCAGGATGGCTGAAGCCCCAATGCATCCAGCTCAGGCTCTAAACCCAACTGCCCACCTGCTAGATATGGCAAATCCAGGCAGGGGTTTCCTTCACCTGGTTCACAGCCCCGGAATGCCAGGAGCACAGGGCAGACACCTTAGCCAGTCCGACAGTGGGCCCACTGAAGTCGATGCCCCTAGAACAAGCATGACATGAATACATGGACTCAATTCCCTAGCCCCTCCTCATCCCTGCAATTCTCCTCCTGGGCACTCTGCCCCGCAGGCCAGGCTGGACAGAGGCTGTGTGACCAACTGGGGCTCAGCTCTGTCCACTGCAATGGGAATGGTAGGTGCATCCTCTTACGTGATAAGCTGTACATTGTCGTGGGTGAGCCGTCCCGTTAGGGCCCGTGCCCTCCATGAAAGGAAGTTGTCCAGTGTGACATTGGCATGGTGGCTTATGTAGATCTTATCTGTGCTCCAGATCTCTAGGCCCACCAGAACCACACGGAAATTGAGTTTCTGATAAAGCTACAGACAAGGATTTCCTGAGTTAGGCCAGGACACAGAAGGTTGGCTAGAGTAGGATGGGTGGGCAGGGGAGGTACCATCTGCTGCTAGGGGTCCTGGTTAAGCCCTGAGCACAGCCCAGAGCTCTAAAGCAGTCCCTATCCTATACCCTCCCAAGCCTCATGGCCATGCCTCTTCCAGGTGCTCATATGCCCTGGCAGCCAGGGTACTGCCTGTGTCCAAATGCACCCCTGCTGCTGAAGGGCCCTGGAAGCCTCGGCAGGGAGGACCCTGGTAGCTCTTAAGGGGACCCCTCCGGCTGAATGCAGTCCTACCTTGTCCACGTGGTTCACCACTTCCAGCACCCGCCTGCGCACGGCCTCTCTGCTCCCAAAGAGCTGGAGCTGGGGACACGATACCCTAAAGCTGGGACCTTGCACCCCAAGCCTGGCCCACCTGGCCCCCTCTACCCCTGTGCCCTCCACCTACCTCTTTGCTGTCAGTGACCACATACAGCTCCACAAAGTGGGTCTTTTGGGGTAGTGGTGATTTCTGCAGAAGAGGCCAGTCAACCTTCCTAGCCACAGCCTGTCCTGGGCCCAGCCATCCCACAGTGTTGGGAGGAACCAACCAGGCAGCTCCAGCACAGAATAGGGCTATCTTTGCAGCTGCAGCACTAAGCTAGGCCCACCCACCTGGGTACACATGGGGATGGCTTTGGAGCTGCGCACAGAAACACCCAGAACCAAGCAAATAAGACTATGGAGGGACTGGCCACACAGGGGCATGAAGCTGCTCACCCGGTGGTGAGGCCAGAAAGCTGCCAATGCTCGAGGTTCCAGGACGTTGTCCTCATCGGTGTCACTGACGCCACAGGTCCCCACCTTCTGCTGCAGGTGTTCAGCCTGGTACATAGCGTGTCGCCCCTCCTCACCACTCCCATCCAGAGGCTCAATCAGATGGATGGCAGAGCCCACTCGGAAGAAGCCCCTGAGAGAGAGCCAGGTGAGCAGCAAGTTTTGCTGGCCCATCCTCACCTACTTGTCTGGGAGGACAGGGGCTCCAATCTGGTGTCCACAGGCCCCTCCACATTGCAGTCAGTGACCCCCTTATACCCACCCAGGTGACACACAGGTCCGGAACACAGGAGGCATGAGGGCATGTAGGAGTGGGCCTATTCCTTGGGTTTGGCACTGGTAACTTCTAACAGGAGCCCTGAGTAAATGCCTTTGCACATTCTGACACACAAGTAGAAGAAAGGCATTTTCTCCAAGTCTAGTTCCAAAGTTCTCTCTTCTCTTTCTAGGTTCACCTTTCTGTAAAGTGGGACATTCTGACAAAGTCTACACACACACCTGAGACCACTGCAGGTGCTAAGGCTCGCGGCAGAGCCCTGGTGCCCCTCCACATGGCCCTGGTAGAGGCAGTGGTCCTGCAGAAGAAACATGAACAGTCACTGGTCCTGCTCCTATGAGCCCCAAACCCAAGAAGGGCTGCCCTGGCCTCGGCCCCATACCTGCCCGTGCAGCTGCTCTGTCACCTCAGAGCCATTGTCAGCTGAGTAGGTCTCTGTGTAGCCAGAGCCCAGCAGGTCCCTGGAAAAGAATCCCTGGAGTTTTCTGGGCCACTTCACCCTAGCCTCCCACCTGGAGAAGCTGGGCCAGGAGCTGGCTGTCCAGGATACAGGTACTAGACCTTGCAGAGCTGGCTCAGCCAGGGACCAACCCGAGTGGCCAGTCTTGTGCTCACCTGTTCTTCCGAAGGTGTAGAGTAAAAGTGTGATTTCCAGTCCCAAGGATGTAGCTCACTTTCTCCGGGTATAGGCCCTGGATGAGGTATCCTGGGTAAGTGGCCTCCAGCCCCAGGCCAGCCTAAGACCTCCCTGGGTCTCCTCCCTCTAACCTCGAGGCCCCTCAGCCAAAGGCAGGCTAACAGGTGGCTGAGGCCAGGCTGCGTTGTTCTGGAGTGGGTAGGAGGTGCCCTTTTTCTGGGTGGGCCAGAGAGACAAGGCTCCTTCATCATCCAGGTCTCAATTTTTTTTTCCCTTTGTCCACATAAAGATAACTATGTTGATGCCCATTCCTGGAGAAAGCAGTACAGGAATGGCAGCCCCCACAGCTAGGGCAGCAAAGGAGGCAGGGAGGAGAATGTAGTGCACAGACCCCTCCAAGCCTAACTGCCCTGCCCCAGCTGGTGATGGTGTTCATCCTCTATAGGGACAGAGTCATTTCCCTGTAACTCCATGATCCTGTCCCTATGGATGTCCTACATCCCACACAGGATATGCTCAAGTAATGTGTGTGTGCCCACTGGGTGAGCTGAGAGTACAGGGCTGTGGATAGGTCTGGGGAGTCCTGAGGCAGATTCCCTGGACACCAGAGCAAGGATAGAGCCAAGACAGGGCCCCTCCCTGGAAACACACACCCATGCGTACCTCACACTCACACCACACAGAAACGCAGTGTAGACACACATCCACTGGTCTTTCAGGAATCTTCCTGGGCAGCCCACAGGACTGTTCTCAGTTCTTAACCCAGGGGAATCCCCACACAGCTCACAGGCTCAGGAAGGTGTGTCATTGCACACGTAACGTCCCACAGTGAACCATCCCGTTACTCAAGAGGAATTTGGTTGATAACTCTGCCAAGTGAAACTGGGGAGTGGCCTGGTCCAGCACAAACTGCCAGGGATTTCTTGACTGGGCTGGCTGGGCTCCTGAGGGAAGGGGGCAGTAAGTCCCAGTGCCCACACTGGAGGCCCCAGGCTCTGCCCAGGGTAGCGCAGGAGGAAGTAAGAAAGTGGAGGAAGGGACCAACAGTCAACAACAGTCAAGCCAGGAAGACGTACAGGCTCAAGTGAGCTACAAGCCCCTCAGGGTCCACCTATAAACCCTGAGGCTATGCAGGCAGCCCCCAGACTCCCACCCAGCCATGTCCACAGAAACAGGCTCTAAGGGGCCAGTCTCATGGGTGGACAGTAGAGACTTACCCTTTGGGAGGGTACAGCTCGACGGGCACGGTGTCTAGGCAGGTGCTGGGGCCACACCACCTCATACTGCTCCACATGGGGTAGGGGGTTGCTGAGGGCAATCACTACAGAAGAGAGGGGGTGAGCAGGTGCAGGGTGGGCTCCTCCTGCCCTGGGCAACTTTCCATGTCTGGTATGGGATTGCACACAGGGATCACCAGATGGATCAGGATCTAGCAATGGGAAAGATCTGGCCCCTAGGGCCAAGGGGTGGGTCGGGGGCTGTCTGCCTAAAAAAAAATCTGTGAGGGTAGAGGAGGTGCAGTGGACTGAGCCTGGCACACTAGTCAAAGTGCCCAGAGACCCTGTCCCATCCAGCCACCCTGCAGATCCACCTGAATGTCCTCTATCCAGGGAGGATGCACATAGGCCTTGGGCTGGGAGTTGGAGGTGGGGATAGCTCTGCCTGCCTGGCGCTTAAGAACTCACACCTTTTCATCCCTAGTTTCAGGATCACATCTAACTGGGGAACAAAACAGCCACTACCTGCCCCTCAGTTCAAGTCCCAAGAACTGGAAACTTCCTGATGTCTAGCAACTGAGCAGGGACACTGCCCTCAGGAAAAGTAGGTCGTTTCGGAAACCACTCATCCCAGATAACTTTATTCCTTTTAAAGAAGTGCGTCTCCCTGAACACTATCTGCTAAATCTCCAGGAGTGAGATGTAACAGGGAATGCTGCCCCTGCCCCAGGTGGACACCACATCACCCCAAGCCAAAAAGCTCCCAAGGCAGCAGCCACTAGGTTCCTCCCGGCCAGAGGCAGGTACTCAGATGGCTAGAGAATCCTGCCCCGACCCAGGTAACTCTGTTTCCTTTCTTACCCGTTGGTGAATCCAGTTGCCCCCCTGCGGTCTTTATCCCTGCTGGGTATCAACCCACCTGGGAAACGCCCTAGACTTCTCTTACAGTTCACCCCCTATCCCCACTCCACGTTCAAGGGAGGAACGTGAACAAGCCGGCGCTCAGGCTGCTTGGAGCTCCACCCTAGGGGCCCCAGGAGCCGGTAGCACAACACTCACCCTGTGGCCAAAACGCACCCAGTAGCCAAAACCTAATGACATGCATGGTCTGGTCTCCGGTCAGAGAAGGCTCAGCTCGGTCCGGTCCCAGCGAAGGGCTCCTCGAGAACTCCATTCCGGCCCCGCCCAGGAAGGGGCTCCGCCAATCAGGCCGAGGGGCAGGGTGTACCTGAGGCGAGCCGCCCCGCCCTCCCACCACTCCTCCACAACCCAGCCTCCAACACAGCCAGGCCGGGACCGCAACTCCGCCCCCATGACGACCCAGTACCCTTGTCTGTTCCAGGACCCCGTAATAGTGCACCAAATTAATGGGGTTACGGTGGGGTTTAAATAACCATCTTGGACCTATCCCCCGACTCTGCCTCCTCCTCCTCCACACAGGGAAGCCAAGGTCCGTTCCCAGTCAAGAGTTCTGGAGCCCTCGGTGGTCAGCTGGAGTAATGTAGTTCTTGGAGGGGGAAGTAACTTGTGGGTGGGGACCCTCCGACTTCCTGAGGAACAGAAAGCCACACTAGTATCACTCAGGAGGGGCAAGACAGAGGAGACAGGTGGGGGCCCCATTCCAGGGGCTGTAGTTGTGCTGTGGGAGTACAACAGGTCAAACTCCACACATAAGCCTTGCCTTCTGCCTATCCTGCCCTGCAGGGTGAAGATGCCACAGAACCAGAGACTGTAGTACCCCTGCTGTGGCATGGCTCCCACCTTCTCCAGGTGGGTCCCTGTCACCTGAGAACCTAGAACTCCTGGGGTTGTAGCCAAGCCTATCTGCCCTTTGTAACCATGTCCCCCACTGTGGCCCAGCCTTGTAGGAGCAGGTGTGGGCCACCCATCAGCCAACCCCAGCCCCAGCCCCAGCCCCAGAAAAAACAATCTAAGGAAGAAGGGGGCTGGGCAGCTCAACCTTCTTCCTGATTTAAGAAGGGAGGGCATGGCAGATCAGGGGCTAGATGGGTAGGGAGATAGGCAGGCCTGGGGCCTTAGGACTGTCCAGGGACAGCAATGAAGGGATACAGACACTCTTTTGCCCCAACGTGAATGACACAAACTCAGAAATGGAGCAGGCAGAGCACAGAAGTTAAGGTGTCTCAAGGGGAAGTGATCGGCTACTCAAGGCATCAGCCTGTGGTGCTCAGTGCTCCGGGAACCTCCAGGCTGTGGATGGGGCTCCTGTGTTGGGCTGGCTTCTGCCTAAGGTCACACATGCCTTTGGCAGTTTTACTTCTCTTCCTTGTTCCTCAATTGCAATTATTTGACAGCAAAAGTTCAAGGGAAGGCAACACTAATAATCACATTAGAGGCAAAAACCAAAGATACTGTCAGTATATATCAGTTTGATAAGTAAATCAAACTACTCATAACTAAGCTGGTGGAGGTGAAGCTTAATGAAAAGGGACTTATATCCAAAAGTCAGCACCAACTGAAACCAGCCTGATCCTGTACCACCAGAACCCTCCAGAGACAACTGATGCCTACCCATGCCACAGGACAGACACAACTCATCTCTACCAACTTCCCAACAGCAGGCAGTGGGAGGGCTGGGAGCCAGGATGCCATAGCCTCAAAGCTTCCCCTCTACCACCCTGACCACTTATAAACTCTGAAGATACAGAGGTAAGGGCCTGGAGCATGGGATTTCTGGTTCTTTGCTACAGGCAAAGGAGCGCCTCAGCTTAGTCTGGCATTTATTGTGGCAACTGGATTGGCAGATGATGTATTTACTCAGTCAAGTCTACACAAGCTGCAGATTAGAACATCAATACGTGGCTGGAGAACCAAGCACCCCCAGCTGAGTAACTGCCCTCTGCAAAGAGGCCACAGTATGGGCTGCCCACATTACGGCCCCCTTGGGAGTGCTTGTCTGTGTGGGGCCACACATCCCAGGAGCATGCCCAACTCCTTCTGACCCTACTGAGTAGACCCACCTGCGGCAGGTGTTTAGAACTGGATTTTGAGAAGAGCACACATGAACTTCACCAGGAAGGAGCAGCTTGGCCAGGGGTATAACCAGACCAGGCCAACCAGGGCCAGCTGTTCTGTCCATTACTGGATTAGGCCTGATGGCCAGTAAGGGGCTACTGAGCACATCAGCCAGTCTGCTGGGTAATTTTCATACAGCAAGGCCAAAGCCTGATAGAGAAACCCAGAGTCCAGTCTTGACTGATGGGTGCAGGATCAGGGCATCTCACCTCGAGGCAAGCCTGTCCCTCAGGCCATTCCTCAGTGGGTACATTTCAGGGTGCTGGAGGCAGCAAGTCGTTATAGTTTGGCACAATGCTGCCCCCTAGTGTCTAGAGCACAAGGAAAGCCCAGATCCCTTCAGGGTTCTGGGATCTCAGGGAGCCCAGACAGCACCTTGTAATAACCTTGCTTAATGTTCAAATGCCATGTCTGTTGTGTTTTTTAAAGTCTGTCTTTGAGACCCAAAGCATTGAAAACAAACCAAAACAGGTAAGTCCAGGAAGATATCACCCTGGTCTGGGCAATTCTATAAAACAAAACCTAGCACCTTAAAAAAAGAAATGCACTGAGCCAAGGCTGTAATTCAGACCTAATATTTAAACAATAACAGCACATATAACATATATGTTCCAGGAACATCTGATTTAAAAATTCTGAGATCACTGCATCATAGCACTGACTGGCCGCAGAGTTCATTGTGCAGTGACTGCCACCCTGGGTGCTGGTGCTGGTGAGGGGAGCCCCCGTAGGACAGGCACTTGGGGGGCTGTTTTCTGGCTCCTTTCTGCAGACAGGCGCTCCAGTCGATCTGTGTAGAAGCCATTGAAGTCGAGCCTGTGGGAGAGGAAAAACAGAGCTGGGAGTCCTCTTGGAGAGGGTGAGGCACAGCTCCCACAGGAAATGCATGGGTGTAGACACGCCTACCACAGGTGGCCAAGCTGGCAGCCCCATTTTTCCCACATAGGTAAGAATCAGCAATAGAGATGAATCAAGGCGTCCTCCAGGCTGAGGGTGAGGGGTATAATTCCACTGGCCAACACATATACACGCACAGCTCTCAGCTTACAAAGACTTCACTTCTTTAAGCAATACAGAGATCAGGCCTTGAAAACACACATGAAAACTAAAAGCCAAGCAGCATAGCTCCTAACAAGCATTTCAGTAGAATTATATCCAGCCACTGGCACAGCTGCAGACTTCTGTCTCAGTCCCCAGATATTGGGACACCCATCACCGCAGCATCACCTGACAATAGAAGGAGGGCCCTGAGGGTGCCCCACACATGAGAAACTTCACAGTAGTTCTGTACTAGGAAGCTCAGAAACCTCCATTCAGGAAACCATAATGTCAGCAAATGGCAAAGAGCACCAGATGCGGTTGATGTACAAACAAGCACCTTCTTAAGGGCAGTTCCAGGATAGCACCTCTTCCTGGCTAAAGCTGGGGCCCATTTCCTCACCACACCCTAACAATGAACAAGCTACTGTCTTCCCCGAGGAGCCACCAGCCAACCCCTCTTCCTCCCACCCTCTTCAGCCAGCACTGGGGACCTGACTGCCAGAGGCTGAAGGGAGCAAAGTCCATGGTAAAAAGAAATGGTCAGGCCTGTGCCTTACAGTTGGAGGGGAATAAGGGTGGCCACGGAGGTAGCAATGCATACCTGGAGATGACACTGGCCATGCCATGCTCGCAGTCACTGGTGCTATAGACGCTCAGTCGGGCTAGCAGGTCAAGCAGATGAGCAGAAAAGTTCTTGTCAAAGTTATTGATGGTGGCTTCAAAGCCAGAGGCCACCTGAGGGGTGTCCACAGGCTCCGCCAGGTGCTAGAAACAAAACCCAGGGCAATGAACAGTGCCAGCTCTCTGAGTGGGCATCTCAGGCTCTGTGCTGAGTCTACACCCATTTGCTTCTTTTTCCTTCCCTCTATTTAAATCAAAGGGGCCCTGAGACATTTTGTGCGATAAAAGCTAAGAAGTTATAGTGTCAAGAAATTCTTGAGGTCACAGCACATGAAGAAACACTTCAGGTAACTAGTGTCCCCCGTGCTGGGGATAAAGACTTCAACAGTGCCTCCCCATGGGTTTTCTCTCTTTGGATCAGATTTGCAAGTTGATGTCATTTTCTCCTGGCTACTTAGCAACGGGGATGAACTGTGTCTCTTACTGTCCCTAGCTTTGGGCCCCTACTACTCTCTGACCTGTCTTTTCTTTGCCACATCAGCACAAAGCCCGTTCTTTGGCCTGTGCCTCAAAAGACACAGCTCATCTGCACTTGCTAAGTTACCTGTCTGTTCTTATCAGAGACAGACACTAATCAGTAATAGTGCCCCAGGCTTGGCCCATACAATGCTATTCCATAGATGACTATGGCCATACCAGAGCCCAATGGGCTAACGTAGGGAGCAGACCAATGGGAAGAGAGAAGACACTGAGCCTGTGTTTGGAACCAACTTCAAGAGTATTCTTCTCATTAGAGCAACAGCAGAGAAAACGTGTTAGAAAGTCTCCCTGAGTGCTGAGATACTAATGCTGTATTGCATATAATTGAGGTCTTTCAGGATGAACTCTAAAGGATCCCTCCACCTTCCTGGAGGGCTCCTTCCAGGGTAGCTCCTTGGCCTGGCTTCTGTGGGCAGCCCCAGAATGGTGCTTTGCTGCAGTGCTAGCATCTATGTCCAGTTTCATGCTCTGTGTAAACTTCTAGGGGCGGGGTCATAAGGAAGTGCTCCTGTCAGTTCTAACCACAAAGCTCTGTGAAACAAGTCCCTGCAGGTGCAGTTCACCCCATGAGGCAGGCCTGAGCTGAATGCAGACTCAGGGACACACAAATGTCCCTGGTGAGGGCTGCAGGTACTAGGGTGTTACCTGTGCCCACAGAATTCCCAGGTCTATGTTTCATAAAGACAGTGAATAGATTTCCCTAAAAACAGTTTTTTCAAGGTGTTTCCATTTGGGAACTCAAACTGGGCTCCTAAGAATTTAAGGATCCACATTATCTGTGCCCTCCATAATCTACTACCATGTATATCTTCTACCACTCATGTCTTGACCCTTTCTCAAGATGCTGTCTGCAGAAGGTGCTCCTCAGGCCCCCAACACCCTCCAGCCCAGCGCTCCTCAGGCTGAAACCTCTGCCACCTGAGAGTCACTTTCCATGACCACTCATCTCTAGGCAACTACTTATAACAAGTGTCCAAACAGTACTTAACTGAGTTGAGTAACTCAAGGTCTGACAAAATAACAAAGACATTTAAAAAGAGGCTAGGAACACAGGTAGAACTATGGACAGAGTGAGAGTAATCCAGCAGTACCCTGACCCCTGCACATACCACCACAGCAGGGCCTCAAGAAAGTCCCTTGTTCCGAAAGGTATTTACTGGCCAGGAAGACCCAGGAACTCCATAAAGGCAGAAGGTGTGGGACATGGCTGCTGTTATGATTTAGATCTAAAATTTCCTCCGAGGGTCTCATGTGCTCAGAGATGGCGCTTTTGGAAAGTGACTGGATCATGGGGTACTATAATCATCAGTGGATTACTCCACTGAGGAGTTCACACCTGAACGTGCTGTTAGGTGGGCCCTGATAAGGGAATACGGGGCATTAAGGGCATGATGTGGAGGGTGTACTTAATTTTTTTACAAATTTAATTTTTATTAGTATATGTTTGCAGTAGATGACATTTATTGGGGGATTGGTACATGTACCTAGAACATCTTAATTATTATTATTTTTTTTTTTTTTTTTTTGGTACTGGGGAGCAAGCTAAATCCCCAGCGTAATTCTTTTTATATACCTTCTTTCCCTCCTTCCTCCCTCCATCACTTGGTCTCCTTTCCATTTACAAAGATCTATTTCTCTGTTTCCTGTTATCTGTGTTTTAATTATGCTGATGTTTCTCATATAAGAGAAATCATATGATATTTAAGCTTGTAGAAGTCTGATTTTTTTCACTTAACATTATGGTCTCACGGTACATCCATTTTCCTACAAATGATTCAAATTTATCTTTCTATATAGCAGAGTAGTACTCCATTGTATATAAATACACTTTATCTATTCCTCTGCTGATGAACATATAGGCCATTCCCTTAGCTAGTATGAGTTATGCTACTACAAACATGGCATGTATCATTGGACATGATGTACTGTACTTTCAGAAAGACACCTAGAAAAGGAAGAGCTGGGTCATGGAAGGTTATATTCTTGTCCACACTCCATCCTTGTCTGTTTTGTGGCTGCCATCTTGAGCAGCTTTTTTCCACCAGGCCCTGTCACTATAAAGTTTCTGACTTGGACTGGACTTAATCCTCTAAAACCATGAATCAAAATAAATCTCGCCTTTCTATTGCAGGTGCTGGGTATCTGGTCCCAGGGCACAAAAGTGACTAACACAGAACACTCATGCACACCCTGCCTGTACCTGCTCACATTTGCTTGTATCTGTCCACACTGCCTACCTGCATGCAGTTGGTGAACATGACGCACACAGACATGAGCTTAGAGAAGACCTTTAAAAGCTCGGGGTTGGTCAGCATGCAGTCTTTCAGGCAGTTGTCCAGAAAGCTCGTGTGATGGCCAAGGACATCATCGATGTTGGAGGCCTGTGAGGAAAGGGCTGAGACTCAGCATTGAGCATGCTCTCCAGACTTCACAGAAGATACTCTGTCCATGTGGTCTTCAGTTTTTTTTGTTTTTTGGTATCAGGGATTGAACTTGGGTCCTTGGGCTTGCAAGGCAGGCGGTGGAACCACTGAGCCAAATCCCCAGCCCTGTGTACTTCCGTTTTGTTTTGCATTTCTGGGGACTGAATCCAGGGCCTCACATATGTTAGGCAAATACTACATCTTTAGCCTCCTTTGTACACTCCCCCCACCTTTGGTTTTATTGAGACAGGGTTTTACTACGTAGTTCCAGCTGGCTTTGAACTCTTTACATAGCCCAGGCTGGCCTTGTACTCATGGCAATCCTCCTGCTTCAGCCTCCCAAGTGCTGGGATTATTGGAGTACAGTGTTTTTGTATGTTTCTATCTTTTAAATGAACCAATGGTCTCTTGGGGAAAACTTCTGTTTTGCCCTCTGTGGCTCCCCCTTTGCTGTCTCCCTCACATGAATCACTGTGGAAGAACACCACTGTCTACACAGGAACAGGACCTCCTCTCTCCAAATAGGAAAGAGGATGCATGGCTGTGCACATGTTCATAGCAGCCCTGACACCTAGTCAGCATGTGACTGGGGACTGCTATGAAAACACCTGGATGGGAAAGAGCCTCTCAAATGCTACAAAGCATGAAGCAGAAACTCACAGACTTCAGGTTTTTCTCAAGGATGTGCCAGGTTGGTTCCATCACTTCAAACATCATATAGTACTGAATGTTTTGAACGAAGTTAAGCATTCGCTGCCGCAGAGTGAAGGCGCCAGCAAACCTGAGTGCAGAGGACAGACACGGAAGAGTGATGAAAGGCTGGAAACTCTGTGGTGTCTAGTATGTGCTAATGGTTTCTGCCACCAGTACTTTCTCCATGCCCGTAGCTCCTATGCACTGATAACTGCTTGGACACAGGCTTTGAGGATACTAGCTGTCATCTCTGGCTGCATCACGCTGTCAGGTGAGTGTCTTGCCCAGAAGGGCTTCGGCCAGCCAACTCCCCCTGGAGAACCACAAACAGACTCCCTGGTTCACTAACTCACTCACCTGGTAAATGACCAGTACCGGGAATGACCCCAATGGCATACTCCATAATTTGCACTTTACTGAGGCAGATTCTTAAGGAATTTTAGAAATTCTGCCACTAATCTTTTCTTCAAACATCACCTGGTTTGACCAATCAGTGTGCAAAAGTCCCCTGAGGGAAAAAAAGTAGTTCCCAGCACAATGCCACTCTATGCTCAGGAGGGAATAAAGGCTCCTGAAGGACTCCGTGTCCACTACATAGAACCAGGTAGCCAGTATTGTGCCTTCACAAGGAGAGAGCTGAAGGACACAGCCAATGTTCCCTGCCAGTGAACAATGGTGCTGTGTTGCCAAATCATGAAATCTGACATATCTTTTTTTTTTTTTTTTTGGTACCGGGGATCAAACTTGGGTCCTTGCACTTGCGAGGCAGGCAATCTGACATATCTTGGAACTAAACTACAAATGAGATTTTCAAATTATTTTTTTCAAAAATCTAAGAAGTAAAACCATCCTTCTTGAAGGAAACAGGAAGGCCATGACACGACGCACCACTTTGCAGAGTGCAGCGCGTACTGCTTGGCGGTCTTGTTGCTGATCCAGACACTGCAAAGCTGCCGCTCCACATGTTTGCAGTAGAACATATGCCTGAAGAGCATCTGGTAGCGGGTGAGTGCCTTCCTGCAAAAAAGGGAACATCAGAGCTCCTGAATGGTGAATGGTGAATGGCCTATCCTCAGTGTGAAGTGGGCACCAGGAGCTGGGAGCCACCTCAGGTCCTAAAGAATGAGGCAGCTCTGAGTGGGCAGTTCCAGTTTCTTGTAATCTTCAACTGACATCCAGAAACCATCTCCAAGTGGCCAAATCCTCACCTGTTGATGATCAGTGACAGGGGCCACTTGACAATGTAGTCAAAGGAAAAGGCCTCAAGGCCACTCAGCGTGAGCTCAGTGGGATCAGCATGGGTCATTGCCTTCTCCTGCTTGGTCTCAATGGCTAGAACCCGCAAGAGCTGAGTGATGAGGTCATGAGGCATCAGGTCAATCTTAAGGGAAAAATAATAAAACAAAGCATGACATATTTAGAGGCTAAGGCCAAAGGCATTCCTGACCCTTACCCACCCCTGTATCATGACTTGGAAAAGCAAGTAAGTTTCCTAACAACTGATAAAAGTACTGAAGGCCATGTTAAAAAGCCAAATACCTACTGATAAATCCTAATTCAAAAATTAGGCTGGGCAGGGGAATTAGCTCAGTGGTTCCACTGTCTGCCTCATAAGTGAAAGGTCCTAAGTTCGATTCTCAGTACCAAAAAAAAAAAAAATTAGGCTGATGGTTCTAGCTCAGTGGTGAAGCACCTGCCTAGCAGATGTGAGGCCCTTAGTTTAATTCAAAGCACAACAAAGGAAAAAAACCCAAACTACTTTCCATTAAAGTTGAAAAGAAAAATCCAGATACATTACTTTTTAAATGCCTCTCTGCTGCCATTGATAGTACAAATGAGAAACCACAGGGAAATTAAATCTAATTCCTTAAGATTGAAACATGCTTTTTCTCCATAAGGTACCAGGCCTAGGCTGAAAGACAAAGCATATCCGGTGTGAGATGTGATGGTAATTATAGAAAAACAACAACATCCACAATATTAATATATTCAAATATTTATTAAGCACTAATTGTATGCTAGGGAGAATGTGACAAGATCCTTACAAAGAACAAGAACAAAAATGAAGAATAAAGAATAAAGGAAGAAACGCAAACAGCTCATGAATGGATGAAAGTGCTTACTGTCTCCTAACACAGAAATAAAAATTCAGCTGATGCTTTTCCTGACCATCAGAGGAGCACAGATGTGCACAACAGATGGGCAGATATGATGGTTCCTCAGCCACTGCCAGGGCCTCAGACAGCTCTAATGAGGTCAGCCAAGGGGTTAAGTCCCTGTACCAGGTCTGATCCAATGGGTCCACTGCTGGGAATTAATTTATCCCATAAAATTACTTTTGTATCCAACAAGAGACCCTAAAATATATGAAGGAAGGGTGGAATTTAAAGGGTAAATGAAATTCTAGGGAAATGGCAGAGATCAGCACTCAATCTTCTTCAGAGAACATAAGCAGCACAACGCTTCCATGACACCTGCAGAGCAGCAGCAGAACCCATGCTCTCTGAAGTGTACCTGGACATTCTTCAGGACATGTGTGAAGAAAATCTTGATACAGTTTAGAAAACTGAGATCATACAATGTATATTTGAGCTGGGTGTGGCGGGCACGCCTATAATACCAACAACTGGGGAAGCTGAGGCAGGAGGATCATTGCGAATTTAAAGCCAGTGTAAATGACACAGAAAGTTCAAGGCCAGCCTGAACTACAAAGCAAGATCCTATATATAAAAAAAGAGGTATTCTCCATGGACAACAACAGGCTCAAATTGGAAGTAAGTAACAGAAGGGAAAATAGAAAATTTACAGGTCTGTGGAAGTTAAATACACTCAAACAATAGGTCCAAAAAAGGAACTGTAAGGGATATTAGAAAGTAACTTGAGACAGGTCTTGGGTGTAGGCCCTGGGTTCAATTCTTAGCACCACAAAAACACCCCCAAACAGAAAAAAAAAAAACAAAAAAACCCTACAAAACCAAAACTAACAGGGGAAGCCAGGCATGGTGGCACATGCCTGCAATCCCAGCACTTGGGAGGCTGAGGCAGGAGGATCACTGCTAGTTTGAGACCAGCCTGGGCTACATAGTGAGTTCCAGGTCAGTCTCAACTACATAGGGAGACCCTGTCTCTAAAAACCAAAAAAAAAAGAACAGGGGAAGTGACATCAGTCCTCAGAGGGATATTTGTAGTTGTGGACACCTCAAAGCAATAACCTAACTTTATAATCTAAGAAAGTATGAAAAAAGCAAACTAAACTCAAAACCAGTAGAAAAAAGGAATAACAAAGAGCTAACCAACACAGAGAACAGAGAAACAGTAGAGAAAACCAACAAAACCAAGACTAGGTTCTTTGAAAACATCAGTGATATTGACAAACCTTTTAGCTACATTGAAGAAGCAGGATTCAAATCACTGAATCTAGAAAGTAAAGTGGAGCTATTACTACCAGACCATAAGAGTCCCCACACTGTGTACCAGCAAGTGGACACTCAGCCAAGATGGACAAAAGAAACACAAAGGCATAGGGGCTGACTCCTGAAGTAGCAGATCTGAACTGCCTTAACCAAGGGAGACCGGGCCTTGAGCCTCCCAGCAGAGAAAACCAGCACCAAAGCCTTCATGACGAATCTCAGCCAACCTCAAGGAAGAACTTACAGCACTCATACCATTTCCCAAACTCTTCCAAGAACATAAAAGAGAAAAGACATCCATAACCACACAATGAGATCAGCATAACCTGACATGCAGCCAGACTTGGAAACTGCAATGAAACTACAGACAGATATCCCTGTGAGTACAGATGTAAAAACTTTCAACACAATGACAGCAAGCCAGCATATTGCCCAGACGAAGGAAGAACACACCACACAAACACCTTGTCTAAAACACAAAGCACCGGGCAGGACTGGGCCCGGTGGTTTTCTCACTTCCAGTGCCCACCACACCCACCTTGAGGTCGTCTTTGAAGGGGTCAGTGTTGGCAGTGCTCATGCGCAGGGCCAGCTCCAACAGAGCCTCTAGGCGTGTAGGAGTAATGTCCTCCACGGGTTTCCTGAGTTCCTCCTCGGTGAGGTCCATGAAGTGCACAAAGAAGTCTCCCTGGTCCATCAGGAAGTAGCGCTTGATGGACCTGTGCCAGGGAGGAGGTGCTAAGTCTGCTACTGTGCCTGCCAGTACTCAGTACTTCAGCACAACAACCACACAAAAAAGAGTGTATGTAGGCCAGGGATTGCTCTCAGTGGCACCGCACCTGCCTCGCAAGTGCAAGGTCCCGAGTTCGGTCCCTGGTACCAAAAAAAAAAAAAAAAGAGAGAGAACGAATGTGAACAACTTTCAGTGGGGCATGGAGCCACTGCGTCAGGCTGTGGCACAGGAGTTGAGGGGTCTTGGTGGACCCCAGCAAAAAGGGGACCCAGCAACATGGAGACATGGGGCCCCACCACCCACCTCACAACCCTGTGGTAGGGGTGACACAGGTGCTGGGTCTTCATGCTACAGAGAGCCAGGTGACCCGCCCACTTTTACAGAGATAAAAGGGCTGCTAGAAAGAACACTCCTATCTTGGCCCATGTCCTGTAAATCTGACTTCCTGTGCTAAGAGGCGTATGCAGCATCCACAGGGGTAGAGTGAGGAACAACCTCAGGTGGGCCACCAGCTCCTTCTCCTCCATCAGGAAGTCCAGCAGCACCTTGCTGGCATAGTTGAATGCTTTTTCAATCTGCTCAACATAAGCCCGCTCTTTGAGTGTGTAGATAATCTCTTTGGCCACAGGGCAGGTGACATCATGACCACACTCTCTGACCACATTGAGGTATTTTCCTGGAAAGAGAAGAAGGAAGGCAGATTTGCAGTATAACTGCACACACTGAGTCTCAGGCCTGGACTATAACCATCTCTGTCAAACGATGGGTAAGGGGCTACACATGCCATGAACATCAGCCCTATCTATACTCACTTAATCCCACACAGAAAGATGCAACTGCCACTGAAGGGACTGAGCCAGAAGCTGCTGTGACCTGCAGTGGCTCTTCACATCTGGATTTTCCCAATTAAGAGCACAGAAATAATTTCAAAAAGGCCTTTTGAGAACCAGGTTGGCCCCTTCTGCACTGGCTTAGTCCTCAGTAAAAACGTGCCACCCCCCGCCCTGCATCATTTATCCAGTGACTCAATCAGGCCCTTACTTGTGGGGCAGTGACTATCATCAATGTGGTCACCCTGGCAGGTATGTGTCCCTGATGGTTTTTCCTGTAATAGAGCTTTAGAAGTTAAAAACCAAAGATAAAGAAGGCTTCTGCGAGACAGTCTCCCGGTCAGGGGACAGAATGAAGCCAAAAGGTGCCAGGAACGACTAGCATCTAGTAGCCTGGCACAAGAGGCCATCTTCCACATGGGCGCAGGGCTAGGAGCTGGTCCTGAACATAAGTACTTTGTACACAGTTACCTGTGCTGAGGATCTTGCCTGCCATCTTCTGCAGGAAGGAGGGGATCTGCTGCTGCACCACAGTGTACCGCTGGTCCCAGTACTTGTCATTGTAGTCCTCTTGTATCTTCTCTTTCCGAAGTTCGTGTTCTTCAACCATGAACTCGCTGGAAGTCACAGACAGCTTCTCAGGCCACCGTGGAATAAGCACAACCCTCAGTGACACAAGGAACTGGCCCCATTCTTCTAGAAACATGCAGTTAAGGCAACTATGACCCTCTGTCATTACTTCTGCATGGTGAGCTAAAAATGAATATATAAACCTCTTGTAGAGAAGGTATTTAACCTAGATCAGAGCTAGATAGAAAGTTAATTATCTCCACCATTTTGTTAAAAGCACAAGCCACAGAATGACTTGTCCCTGGGTTGTAGGCCCATCACCAGAAGAACCAGGCACCTTCCCGCAGAGTTTCGAATAACTTATACCCAGTGAGCTGGAAGCTGCATTTCTTACTAAACTCACCACACCAGGTTCTGTTATTTGGCCAATTAGTAAAGAAATATAGGGGACTGCAGTTCTGCAGTACAGCACATGCTTAGCATGCATGAAGCCCAATGTTCCATCCCTAGCATCAAAAAATAATTAAAATACACATTTCTATGTCACATACTTTAAAAATGATTTAACAAAATATTTAAACATAATAGAATTCTTTGTGAGCTGGTCCATTTAAAGTCATTTCACTGAGAAGACCTGAGACCTCATCAGACCAAAGACATCCCTACACCAAGGACTCTAGGGCCTCAACTCCAGGGATCGTAACAGCCTTCACCAAGAGAATCGGGTCTAGAAAGGCAGCCAAGTGATGGAAGGATCCCTCCCTGGCTCAGGGCGTACTTCTGTGTGAGGATATATGTTCAGTGTGTGCCATCTCATTAAGGCCAGCACTCTCTGGTAAAGGGGACAGCAGGCATCATCAAAGCACCCTATGGAACCCTACCTATAGGGGTCATGGATGATCCCCCTGTAGATCCACTTCTCCAAGACCTCAAAGTATGGTGCGCTGGCTGCCTTGGTCAGGTATAAGCACAGCTCCTGTGCCTGGCTGTCCCCCGTGTAGTTGAAGCTTCTGTCGTGGAGAAGGCTCAGAGTTGACCCACCCACACACTCGCCTTTATCCACTGAGGTGGCTACAGGGAAAAGAGAGAGGCTTATTGCCAGGACATGTCTCCATGCTATCCTTACCAGCATATCCTCTTAGCTCACCCTGACCTTTTCAATGGACATGTGTTTCTTCTGGGGCATACTTATAGTTGTAGCTTCTAATTAAGGCTTATCAACAAAAGTGTCCAGGGTCTCCTTCCTGCAAATTACTGAAACAGGAAGCGAGAGCTTTACCTCATGACACTGGTACCAGAAAGCAAAACACAGTAGTTGGCCAAAGGGGGGTGTCCTGTCCCTACACTCTGAGCTCTGCCACTGCTACCCTCCATCAGGTGGGCACATACCAAGAGAGGCCAGGATGTCCACAGTGCGCATGGCTGGCTGGATGTAGAACCAGAGCTTCTGCAGTGACAAAAGGCCCTGCCTGTGCAGCTGCTCCAGCTGTGTGACCAGGATCAGGTACTCCTTCACTAAGGTCCTCATGGCAGCTGCCAAGGCATGGTTCACCTGCCCATACTCGAAGGAAGACTTTTCTTCAATGAACCTACAGGAAACATATTAGACATTCTTGAAAAGCCAAAAGCTACATTTTTAACATGTTTAAATATTGCATTGTTTCTCTGGTGTGAGAAACTGAAAGTAAAAATAAAGACTAAAATGTATAATGGGTGTTGGGAAATGGGAAGAAAATGTTCAAATGGAAAGGGGAACAAGGGAAGAGAGGCAGAAAGGAAGGAAAGAAAAAGTGAAAATAGGAAAAAATATTTGAAAACAAGGCTTTTTTACATATGGAGGAGAGGGGGTTTTGGGGGGGTGAGACAAAATAAAATTTAAAGAAATAAGAAGCTACATTTTTAGAAAAAAGCTCAAATATTTCCAATCCAATTTTCAGCCATAAAGGAAATGACTTATTCTAGCTCTTAACCCCAGAGAGGAGCCATGCTACTAAGAGCAGTGAATCAGGACAGGGGTCAGTGACACACAGGCCCCTCAATATGTATCAGGCCTGAAGCTGTGACAAGCCTCAGGAGAGCTTGCTTCAGAAGAGGTTGCAACCTGACCTCCCTCCACAATGCAACCTCTGGGGCTGGGCACATAAGGCCAGCCAAGCGCAGGCCTACCTGGTCACGGTGGAGTAGCTGGCAGCCACAGGGAGGATTCTGTTCACCAGTTCTCGGATGGACAGGTCCAAGTTGGGATCCACAAGGAAGGTGCGGTTCTGCCTCCCGGCCAGGGGCTGAGCAGTGATATACCTGCCGTCCACACCAACTAGCACGTAGAGCAGGTCTTCCACCACTGCCGACTCCTGGGAGGCCAAAGGCAGCGCTCCTGCAGGGCAGACACTGCTGGGTTCCGCACATCCCTGACCACCTCCAATCTCGCTGACTGACCATAACTGTGCTTGCACTCATTTCCTTTTAGGTAACTAGTTATACATTTATGGATGGAGATGAGAGCTGCCGTCTACGGCTTCAATGGGTCCCATTGCAGAATCAGTGGCAGACACCAATCCCTGTGGTGTAGGAAAGGCATCTGGATAGCAGTGGGGCCTTCTGCATGCTGTCCCCCAACCCCAGCAATACTGGGGACTGAACCCTGGGCCTTAAACATGAAAGGCAAGTGCTCTACCACTGAGCCACACTCCAGCCCTTTACAAATTTATGTTGAGACAGTCTTGCTCAGTTGCCCAGTCTGGTACAAAACTGCCTTACTTCTTCCTCGACCCCAAGAAATAGCTGAGACTACAGATGTAAGCCATCAGGCCTAGCCTGCCAAGCCCTTCTTGAGCTGACCAAAAGATGCACTTAAGACGTTCAACAATATGTAGCCAGGAGTTCAAAGCTCTGAACAAGCCAAACATGCAACATTTATAATCACAACTTGCTAAGTGGGCTGCTCTCAAACTAAAAAGATCTTTAAGTATTTTTTCTTCCTTGGTACCAGCATTTGAACTCAGGATCTTGCTCTTGCCAGAGAGGCATGGCACCCCTGAGCTATACCCAAGACCCACAGTTTTTTCTTGTGTGTGTGTGTGTGTGTGTGTGTGTGTGTGTGTGTGTGTGTGTGTGGTTTTTTGTTTTGTTTTGTTTTGCTTTTTGAGATAGATTCACTATGTTGTTCAGGTTGGTCTTGAGCTCACTGTGTAGCCCAGGATGGCCTTGAATTCATGGTGATCCTCCTGCCTCAGCCTCCTGAGTGCTGGAATTACATGCATGTGCCACCATGCCCCTCAAAGATTTACTTTAAAAATATATCACTTCAGCTGGGCATGGTGCTGGGCTGAGGCAGGAGGATCACAAGTTTGAACCTAGCACTGGCAACTTAGGGAGACTCTGTCACAAAAACAAAAACAAAACAAAACAAAAATGGCTGAAGATGTAGCTCAGTGTGAATGCCCTGGGTCAGTAATGGCAAACCTTTTAGAGACTGAGTACCCAAACTGCAACCGAAAACCTACTTATTTATTGTAAAGTACCAACACTGCTTGGGTAGCTCATATGCCCACAGAGAGGGCTCTCTGCATGACCACTGTGGCACATGTGCCACAGGTTGAATACCTAGCAATGGAAAAGAAAAATCAAACTTCAAGAAATGGTTCATTTTTACCACACAGAATAAGATGACACAGGATGCAGTGTGACCAACCACCCAATGGACCCTTTAAGACAATCAGGCCACCTACCAAGTTCCCACCTGTCTCAGTGTGGCTTCCCCTGCTATCTCCACAGACCAGTAGGGAGCCCATATCAGGAGCTCAAGAAGGCACTGCAAGACACTTTACATTTTACAGAATCCCCCAGAGAAGGATGGTCCATGATACTAAATATTGTTGAAAGGAAGCAAACCCCAACAAAGAAGTCCCAGAAGACACACACCTATCCAAAGCACCAGCTGCAGCCATAGGCTGCAGAAAGCAGGAGGTCCAAGGAGTAAGGTTCTGTCAGGTGGACACGGAGGGCCAGGAAGATGACTGCAGGGTTCTGAGCATGGGCAGGAGAGTAGATGGGGAAAGAAGCCAGAGGGCAAGAGGGAGAACACCTGTGCCAGGTGATAGGCCAGCACATGACCAGGTAGATACTGATATACGGAGCAAGAGAGGCATGAGGTGAACAGGAGTTGAGTGGCTTCCTTCGGCCATGCATTCCAAGCAGTTTCCAAGGGTCAGCTTGTGTACCTCTCATACCAGCTCCAGCCATGTTTTCCAGAGGATGCTGGGAAAAGGTCCCATAAGCTCCTGTAGTGAGAGTGACTGGACCATGAGGTAAGGCTTTGGGTGAATTTGTGCACACGACACCTGGGGTGGGGATGGGCCAGATGTGATGCCAGCTCCTAGAATATTGCAGCATGTGGCTACAAAATGCCGAGAGCATCAAGAGCACATGCCACTAAGGCTTCTAGGCCCCTCAGCCCACAGCTGCACCCACATACTTGCTTCAAGCTGTTTGCCAGTTCTCAGGATAGCTGACTGTACTCTGCCTCATCTGATAACCCTGTCCTCTTCTGCACAACTGTTTCTCTGAATGAGGAAGAAACGTTATCTACCTAAAATAGCCCTAAGACCTTCTTGTTCTGAAGAGCCCAGGTGTCAGGCCCCGTCTATCCTTTCTTCCATCAAGGCAACACTCAATAGCCTCAGACATCCTCTGCTGCCCCCAAGGGTCCTGGACATGTCTCTTACAGGGTACGGAATCTCCTATCTTTTTACACTGATAATAACAAGAGTGCTCTGCCACATCACTGTCCAGGACACACGAAGAACTCTGCCGACGCTCCTGGTAGAAACTTCCCTGGTTCTGTCCATGTGCAGGGAGTTCTGTGACAAGAAGTGCCACAGGCCACAACCCTGCCAAGCACAGGGGCCTCATCCCATGTGCTTAGATGTCTTGGAGCTATGAAGGTCCCCGCTCTGCCTGCCCTGCAGAGCTGAATTAAAACTGAGCAGACCTGTCTACCTAAGAATTCTAATAGCTTAGGTCACTACTGAAAACACAAAACAAAGCCCATTGTTTCCTATACTTTCTCATTAACTTACAGGAGGGTCATGTTTCTTTAGGGATAAGAGAAAAATACTGTACTTCACATAATAGTATTGCAGGGTTTTTTAAGGACAATCAACACCACATGGACCCTCGTGTGCTGTGGTAAAGTAAGCCAACTCCATATCACCTCTTGAATTTGGGCTGTGAGCAAAGGGAAAGCATGCTGCAGATATTCTGTGTCCTTAACTCATGAGGTATCATTTTCCAATCTAAAAAAGGACTTAGGAATTGTATGCAGCATGCCAATGTACGTATCCCAGATACCCAATAGCCTGTCTGGAAAATGTTGTTTATGAGATGTGAATTTAAGGCCACTGATAGCACAGTTAACACTAGCACTGTCACAGCTGGGTCCATGTAAACGCAAATGGCCGCTCAGAAAAAAGCAACCCTCCATCAGACTACCAGGATGCACAGTTTGGGAGAGGAAGCTGTAGTCTGTCCGGCTCTGGAGAAAGACCCCTGTAAGTCACTATCTGTTGGTAAACAGGGACGGAATGTTGAGGAGGACAGCCAGTCAGCCTCAAGCACTGCAACATGCAAAAGGGCAAGCCTGGGTGAGGGGCCAGTGCTGCCCACCACTCTGCTGCTCGGCTTCAGCATACCACCCATGGCCTTCTGCCCTGCTGAGGTATCAAAGCAAACATGATTGATATGAACTTCTTGGGTGTCAGAGATAAAAATGTCAATAAGCCTGGGATTTAGCTCAGTGACACCACACCTACCTCACAAGCACAACGTCCTGAGTTCAATCCCCAGTACCAAAAAAAAAAGAAAAGAAATAAAAATGTCACATACCTATAGGTAAAGCCGTGTCTGTGCTTAAACCTGCACCAATCAGGAAATCTCCAACCAGTGTAGGTCTCTCATACACCCACGATGGGAAGGCAGGGAGGTGCTGGCCTGAATTTTTTTTGTTTTGCTTGTCTCGAAGCATCTTTCTTGTAAGTTCTAGAGACTAGCAGGGCATTTTAAAAAACAAAAACAGAAAGATACTTTAGTGCAAACAAAAGTACAAGCTCCACGGAATTTAACTTTGGCCTAGAAAAAGTCAATCATCTAACATGTATGATTCAATCAAGACAAAATGAGATACAGTTCTATCTGGCCATCACAAAGCAAAGGGCTAGGGAAGAGAAAGAAAGGTCCCATCTGTGTACTCAAGGTTTCAGTCCACAACAGCTCACAGGTTAGTAAGGAGCACCAGCAACAGGGCTGCCTGGGAGAACCTGAACTGCTTTTTCCTAGCAGTGCCTAAATCTAGTATCACTTGTTACAGGATAACAGAACTGGCAACTCCTCACCCTGCTAGAGAAGGTCCTAGGTCAGATCTAGAAGGCAGCACCAGGCAGCCAGCTGCTGGAATGTAAGTGGAGCAGACTCTCCAGGAAACTGGTAGCCAAGTCTGACTGGCGAGCCAGCTTGTGGAAGCCCTAACTTGGGCTGTCACTGAGGGGTGAGCAGACTCTATATACAATGACTAGGGAGCCTGGTTATGTGTCACCTGGGATGGTGGTCTGAAGACTACATGAGTCATGGATAAGTCAGCAGGTGGCCTGCACATGTGACACACCTGACAAGTTTGGCTGTCTCTGTTAGCACCGCTATGCTCAGCGTGCACATGTAAGAGAGGACACATCACAGGGATGTGGCGGTGAAGACAGGTCTGAGGGTCACAATGGTGCAAGAGAACACCTGAGACTCATATCAAAGAGACCAGCAGGAAGTACAGCAAGTAAAGCAGGAGGTTACCCAGAAAATAAACACTAATAATCTGGAAATATTATCATGTCAAAAACCATCTCAGCTGGATGTGATGGTGCACACCTGTAATCCCAGCACTTGGGAGGCTGAGGCAGGAAGATAGCCACATGTCAAAAACAGTGACAGCTGGGTGTGACGGTGCACACCTGTAATCCCAGCACTTGGGAGGCTGAGGCAGGAAGATAGCCACACGTTTGAGGCTAGCCTGGACTGCACAGTGAATATACAGCAAGACCCTGCCTCAAGACAAACAAATGAGACACAACAACAACAAAAAAAGAACTGTCACAGATTCAAAGAGGGAGCTTGAACTTGCTGGCTGACATTCATGTAACCACCTGCTACAGGTGGATCTCACCAGAACCTCACTGGAAATATTTATTTTTGTGGTGAAGAATTCCGAAATGAATGGCATGATCCAGCCTCAGTCCCTCGAAGGACACATTCGTTTCTCTTTTCTCTATTTGGTATTGAGGACTGAACTCAGGGGCTTCACACTGAACTATATTCCCAGTCCTTTTTTATTTTTTATTTTTTTTTAATTTAATTTATTGGTACATTCTAGGTAGACAGTACAGTTACATTCATTACTAGGATCTTGTACCTTTACATGCCAGGTCTTGGTTCTCATTTTTTCCCCTTGTCCCCACCCTCCCTTCACCC